CATACCTTCCTATTAAAAAATCAATTACCTACTTTTTTTTGGGTATAAAAAAGAAACTGAATAGAGTTTTTCAATCTTAGTTGATACTTGGATGAGAACTGTTGTATTGGCCACTATTTAGTTTGACCATAGTAAACAATCCTTTTCCGATATTTTTTATGGTATAAGAGGTATAACGAGCGAACGAGTCAGCTGATGGCAAGTGACTGACTGAAGAAGTGACCGCCGTACATGAGCACATTAAGAGTCACAATTGCGTTGGCGCGCTTTGGGTCTCCCCAGAAATAGGGAAGAGATTACGTTCTGGTAACTTCACTCAGCCTAACACCGGTTTCTGAGAGGCTGTGATCACTCCGGTGGAGCCAGCTGATTTGTGCAGAAGCATGGCTCGCCCATAAGCATTGTCAAAGTATTCCAAAGGCTTACAAGCACCCGTCTCCGTAGGCGCACATTATCAGGCCAGGTTTCAGTTCTATATTTCGTGAGTACATCATGTTGTGATCTCGCCAGATCTGTCATGATATCACGAAATATGACTATTAAGTCATTAAATGGTTACACATATCATGAAATGGTCCATTCTAACATGGCAAAGATATTATGGTAGGTATAACCATTGCAATGTAATTTTATAGGCATATATCACTATCATCAACAAGTTAAGCGTGACAGGTAGGATCACTCTTAAACATACGATTTTCTATAAAACAACTCGAAAATGGCGGTGTTGTTTTTTTTTTATGGTAAAAGGGGGCAGACGAGCAGACAGGTTCCCTGATGATAAGCAACTACCGCCGCCCATGGACAACTGCAACTCAAAAGTCACAAGTGCGTTGCTGCCCTTGGAGTCCCTCCCGCTTGAGTCAGCGGGAAGGGGGGTTTGGGCTCCGGTAACCTCACTCACTCAGTGAAAGGCAACGAAAGAATTGCTTAACACCGGTTTTCTATGAGGCCGTGGTATCACTCGGGTCGAGCCGGCCCATTTGTGCCGAAGCATGGCTCTATCACGGTATTTGTCGCCCCTAATAGATGGATGGAGATGCCAGGATGCTTCACTCCGTGAAAAAAAAGCCCCCCGATGGGTTGAAAAACACGTGAGTAAAACTGAAACTCATGAATTTTAGATGAGACACCAGATAACTAAACTTTGATTTAACTATATTTGTTTAGTCCCACTTCACAACAATTTAAAGGCAGTTTAGAGGCAAGACGCGGCACTCCTTACTCTCTCGTTAACTGATCAAATCTGAGCCGTGCCTGACGACCCTGTTCAATTGACCTCACAGAGGTACACCTACGCTTTGCTTAATTGAAACTATATTGTCTTGGTGCGATTTTTTTAAATAAAAATATGCATGTACAAGGAATGATACCTACGTACATACAGTCACACCTATATGTATGTATGTAATGTAATAATCCGACCGATTTCGGCCATGGCGACCACTTCGACCCCTTATGGGATGCGCTGGCGCTGATGCGCCCGGAGATGGCTTATATAGCCGATTGTCGCAGCAAACACCCTTGCACAGAGTGGGCAGGTAAGCTTGCCGCTTTTATAATTATAGTGAATGGCGGCGAGTGGACGGGCTTTGAGATCATCGCGCTTGGCATCGAGTTCAGCTAAACGCTGTTCCTCAAATTCGCGGATTCGCTTCTTCGTAATCTCGCGCCATTCCGGTCGCTGTGCTGCCAAACTCTCCCAGCGAGAGGGCTCTATGTTGCATTTTTTCATGTGACGCTTCAGAACATCCTTATATCTGAGGAGTTGTCCACCGTGCTTTCGCTTGCCCTCCTCTAGCTCAGACTAAAAGATTCGTTTGGCCACACACCTATATAAGGTGTAATCAGAGGCATATTAGACGACCACATTTTGACGACTATAACTTCACACTCCACACATCTTACACACGGCAGCCTGAGGGCCTATAACTCGCTCTCGACGACGAGTCCGTTTAGCGTTGCGATTGGCAAAGAGTTTAGTGCGGGCCAATCGCAACGTCTAACGCGGTCACCATGACGATTGAGATGTGAAATAAAGTCACACTAGGCCCTCTGATCCCTAACTAGGCAGAGCCTGTGCTATGGTAACAGACTGCTGATAAAACACACTTATATAATTTCTAAATACATACACATTATAGATAAATTACACCCAGACACAGAACAAATGATCAAGCTCGTCACACAGTTATTCGTCCTGGGTGGGAATTGAACCCACGACCTATGGCTTAGCCGTCAAGGTCACCAACAGGCAAGACTAGTATAATTGTAATCCCAATCAGATGGATATCAAAATTTAGGAACGAGCTTTTATGCATTTATGTATAGAGAGACGAGAAGACTAGGACATCATCAGGATCAGAGGATCTTCTCCAGCTATTGCTTACATTCCCAAATCCATCACTATAAGCAATTTTATTTCCTTTCTATTATGGTATAGGATGGTATGGCAAACGAGCAGACGTGTCACCTGATATTAATTAGGTACCGCCGCCCATGGACACCTGCAGCTTGTGACTCAAGAGTCACAAGCTTTGAGCCTCTAACATCCCCCCCCCCCTCCCAGAATCAAAGAGGAGGGGTTTTGAATTCCGGCAACCTCGCTCGCTCGGTGAAAAGGATTGCTTTACTACGGCTTTCTATGAGGCCATGGTATCACGTTTCGAGCACAGTCGAGCCAGCCCGGTTGTGCCGAAGCATGGCTCTGCAACGATTTCCTACCATTGTCATTCCTTCTTACGTAGGTATCTATTCAATAAAGTTCCTTAGCAGACGCAATAGGTCACCATCTTTTACTAAAACTAAACCAAATTGTGTTTGCGAAAATGTGTGCGTTTAATAAATCCCTGCCTACACCTGCTGAGATATAGCATCTATCTATCATCTAGTTTCAAACTAAGCAGAGCTTGTACTATGAAAGCTAATTGACTGATAGAATACTTATATACATTGAATTTATTTTCTGAGTAGAAATGATAGTCCTCATTTTAAATCGATAACAAATGGCTTTTTAGATTGCGGAACTATAGTAAGTGGGTCGCAATTTTTAAAGGAACATTGTAACAATACAGCAGATAGATTATTTCCGCTGGAGAACTATTGTCAGTATTCAGGTTACAATTTGTATTGTAGCTTCAAAGAACTCGACGACGATGAATAGTATATATATTGAAAGATGCAAGGTAAATTTATGTTGTAAAATATCGACAGTCAACTAAATACCTGGCCAGTAGTACGTGTGGTTTTAATGAACTACTAGAGAAGAAGAATATTATTAGAGAAATTGAAACTAATAACACAGAATGCTTGTGAAAGAATAATCATTTGCAAATGTATGAGTTATATAACGAGTTAGTTTGACTGGCCTGTTGGTTAGTGACCCTGACTGCTACGCCAGAGGTCGTGGATTCAATTCCCACCCAGGACAAATAATTGTAAGGTTAGCACGGTCATTTGTTCTGTGTCTAGGTGTACTTTATCTATAATACGTATGTATTTTGAAATTTATATGTATGTTTATCAGTAGTACAGGCTCTGCATAGTTTGGGATCAGACGGCCGTGTGTGACATGTGTGAAAATATTATTTTTATTTATAATTGACACAGATGTAACACGCACATGAAAACATGAACAAGTATTTGGTTTGCCCTGTGTACCTGCTAGCACTTACCGTGACTTCATCCGAGTGGAATTTCGATGCAGTTGAGAATTATTTGCGAACGGAGGAATTTGAAATATTGAGTACTAAGTTTATATGTAGAACTGCAGAAAGCTTCAATTGTTTAAAAAAGTAAACAGTATGTGTAATAAATTTAAACGTACGTGAAAATGGCTACTTCAAGCTACACTCGTTCACCATGCATGTTGACCTGGCATGGAAACGGAGGTTATATACAACGACAGCTCAAGTTATACTAGAATTCAAAAATAAAGTACTATTTTGGGAATTCGACCACTAGGCGATCTCTAGAATTGTATTACAAGCCATACTAACACATATTACGAGTATAAATGCAAAAGTGTATCTTAATTGTTAAATTTTGATAGATAAAAGCTATTTTTCAAACTGTTTTCATTCACAATAGTCACACTTTTAATTTTTCTCGTATTTTTGAAGGAATGTTCTTGCCGATAATAATACCTGACGAACTGTCTATCAAAAAAATAAAATAACAAATCAAAAAGTTGTCATCTGGAGAAAACGATCCTACAGGCTTAAACTTACAATCTAATTTTTTATTTGTTTTTATGGGTCTAATTATTTATCTAATTAGGAGATATCTGGGTCTAATTAGGAGAGGCCTATGTCCAGCAGTGGACTGTTAAAGGCTGTTGATGATGATGAATTATTTATCTCAGACGACCACTACTTAACTCCTGTACATAAGAATCAACAGCAATGAACCATGAACGTTGAGTTATGACATTCGGGAAGTCAAAGAAAAAGTAATATTGTCTTGTCTTGGAACCGCAACGAAGTTAATCAGGACTAAATTGGAGGAGTTGGAAATATAATAAATCCAATTCCCTACTTAGCAAAGCGGGATTCACATAGGAAATCTAATAGGTTTTGCCGCGGCTCCGCAAGCGTTTATTATGTCAGTTATCGCGGTAAAAAGTAGCCTAGTAGTCCGTAATCAAGAATAAAAAATAAATACCTAATTTTATTTGAATCGGTTCAGCGGTTTAAGCGTGAAGAGGAAACAAACAGACAGACAGATACAGTTTCGCATTTATAATACTATATGGATACATATAAAATTACTTGCCCTGACTGTCTGATTCATCAACACAGAACCTAAACCGCTGGGGCTACAAACTTGAAATTTTGGCAGCTGAAGCTTATTGTGTTGTTTCCCCCTAAGGGGGTGAAATAAGGGATGAACAGTTGTATGGCAGTCCGTCATTGTCAAAGTTAGAATCACGAAATAAGAAATAATGACGCGAAGCCGCTTGCTGCTTATCATGTATTATATAAAAAATGAATGCAACTCACCTGTCCATACCGAGACGAAGCTAAATGGACATTTCTATTCTTCAACGAGAAATCAGGCCTCTTCCCCAGTCCATAATTGCTTTTATTTTGTGATATGAATTTCTTTGGTCTGTCCAGTCTTTCCGTGGAGCCCGTCTCATCCTCCTCAGCCCTCTTGGACGTTGACGGGATGCCTCTGTAGGCCCCTCTCGTCCCTCTTATCGTCTTCTCTGGAGACTTGTCCTGTTTCCTCGTTATCAAATTGTCTTTCCTCTGTTTATTATTTCTTAAACTTACATTCGACGCCATATTGTCCATAGCTTATCAAATCCTTCAATTCAAACCTTTATTACATAAGTTATCATGGTTAAATAACGATTAAATACGTGAATAAATAGTTTGCAAGCTCCAGCGTTGTTTTTTTTTTCAAAATAAATTCATTTTGCGTATAAGAGTATATAGTTATTAAACTAGAAATAATAACCGTTATAATGGATTACACTAAATAATAATAAATAAATTGCTAGTTCCGTCTTTTGATTCTCTCTCTCTAGTGATTGGCATCCTTCACAAGTGACCGCTCCAACTGTCTTTATTACTAGGTGAAAAATAATTATATATATTTATATCTAATAAAAATAATAACAGTCTTGAGGAAGATTTTGGAAAGTTTTCTTGTTGGATTTTTAATGTTATCTGTAACAAAAGAGAACACAGTTATAAAATATTATCCAAATCATTGAGATTATCTCTTCTTAAACCGTATTAGAACTAGGGGATATCGATTCGTTAAAAAACTTTTTTTTATGACATAGGGTATCCGTCGAGCAGTAACATGACGGAAAGTGACTCAAGAGTTACAAACGCGTTGCCGACCATTTAATCATCGAAATTGACTAAAACTAATTCGTGTCCTTATATGATGGGGTGTAATCGATCGATCGGATCTTAGTTAACCAATCCAAATTAACATTTAAAACTAAAATAAATATTCGTTCTGATCATAACCTTAGAGCTGTAGTATCAAGTGTCATGTCGATGTCCAATGTAGCCAGTTTGATTTGTTATATACATTTTATAAGCTTACTTTTATTAAGTAACAGACTTTTATATGAAGAAAACTAAAACAATTATCTTTTAGTACTAAGCGGAGTCCTCAACTGTTTTAATTTACCTCTACTAATAGTTATCAGGAAGTCTATAAATTATATTATTAGAAACCATATACCTAACGATATCATTCTATTAAATCAAGATACGATAACATTATTACGTATAGTATATAACTTACAAGTATAAACAAATCCACATTTAAAAAATCTACAACAAAGTTGTGAAATCAAATTCTTACCTAATTTGCTCACAACCAAATTTTATATTGGCAGTATTTTAATAAATAAGTGTCTAAATGACCTAAAAATCGTCTTGAATGGCTTGGAGATAAAGATAGTACGGAAGTACACTGCTGTTCCCCAGGTAAATTGGTCTGGCCTTTGTAAAACATTGATTTATATACAACTAAGATTTAAATAAAATGAACCTAAGGAGCGTATCGGATCCACTTAAAGCTCAGATAATTTACACTTTTCTGAGAAGATTATCAGACAGCGCCCTGAGGTTACAAGCACTCAGTTCCTTTCTGCAGCTAAGTCAGTAATATTTGGAAAAGTACTTATTCAGTTTGAAGGGAAGAAAGAAATCGGACGACACTACAACAAGATCCAGCGGCAAGCAAGCATCGTCCTCGTTAAAGGCCATCACGAGTGACACCTCTGGTACAAGACAGTGTTAAGTAGTTTAGCTAATTTTATGAGAGATTTCAATAGCCTAACAATGCACACAAGCGAACAAAGACTAAACCAAGATTAAAAGAAGCACGTCTAAAAAAGAACGATTTGTGATAAACTTCATAGACAAGAATCTAATGCAAAACATCGTAAAATAAAAACACTACAATACTAGACCACACGAGTGACGTCAGCCATCCATTATCCTATCTGCAGACGAGACGATCGGACGGAATCAGTGTCACTCGACGTTATCAGACAATTTATTATGCAACAGCTGTATTTGTTTATCAAGTCGTACTTAGACACCGCACTGTATGGTTAAAAATATGTACAGTAAAACAGTAGACTAAATAAACTGTTTTCGTCATTACTTAATTTTCGACCCATAGGGTTGGTATTTTTTCTTCTAATTTAAATGGGATCAAACGGGTAGTATAGCTTCTTAAATAAAATAGTGCCAAATCAATTCAAAAATTACAGAGATTTGCAGTAACACAAAAAAAATACAACAAACTCCAGCGGACCAGCGGTTTGAGAACGTCTTCGTTTCGGCAGTCGATTAATAAGTCCTAATCAAAATAAAGAAGTAACTCAACTTTGAAAGTAATCGACGAAACGGATTAATACTTTGTGTAATAAATTTTCAGTTCAGAGTATCTAAAGTTGGCCACTGGCTTTGGTTACTTTTAGCTTGAGACGTGCAAGCAACAATTTCTTTTTAAACCGACTTCAAAAAGGAGGAGGTTATCAATTCGGATGTTTATATATTTTTGTATATATATACGGGGATAACTCCGTCATTTCTTGTTGTACTAAAGGGGTGTATTCCGAAATAGTCCAACTTAAATTTCTTATAGGACTGATGACGAGTTTCGGAGACAGACAACGGAATTCTTCAAAAACTGACAGCAAATGAACCGCGATTGCTGCTAGGTTTTTGTGCTCTTTGTTAGTATTGTTTGAAGTCAGTTCCACTTTTTTTTTAAAGGATTTATACTAGCACTAGTCTTAGTCGACCAAACCCTACATGAGGACTTAGCAGCCAACCCTCGGGAGCACTAGATCTAGAGCAAAACCCTACTTGCGTAAAAGGTGGTTACAATGATCATTAATTTATTATCAGAGTTGGAAAGCATCCAAATTAATTTGTTTTACAAAACTTCGCTCTCATAACACTCGTGAAATAATTCAATCAATTATATATTTTATAATTGGACAAAAGACGTTTAAAGAAATTTAACCACACTCGGCTGATGTTATGAAAACCATGCATGCGTGCAGTGATATATTTTAAATTTCTATAATTATGTTCGGACACAATATAAAAGCAAAAACTTTTTTAAATTTGAAAGTCGGCTACAAATAAAAGACTAGCGAAATCTCAAAATAAAATCTAAACTAACAAGGACCTGTTTTTATTATTTTTCGCTTTTGTTTTACTGCAATCATATTGTACACAAATTAAGTAAAATTATTAAAATTGTTCAACGTTATTGTTTTACCAGAAATTATCAGCCAATCGTACTTAACTTACTATATATATACTTCACAGAAGAGAGAACACCTTATCTCGTAATAATCTAAAATCTATCGATCATTCTTCCACTGCATGAAATTAGAACTAACATTTAATTAGTCTAGGTACAGTAACAAAGAGGTTATCACAATTTACGCGAATGTCGCCGTAATACCAACTTGCGTAAGCCATTACTCATTGTAAGACCCAATTTCATTGATAAACATATCCAGTATAGGCATAGGTCGTACAATAATACTTCCTCGTCTTATTTAAACGTTCCTAGTGCCTATTTTTCCTCTATCTCCAGCTATGTCAATTAGATAATTGGATAAATAATATTTTTTACATTTCAAATATATTTATCAAATGGTCAAATTGAATAATTAGGTTTCATGAGCAGATTGTAAACCGTCGTGTTGTTTGGCACTTATACATTTCAAATTCCCGCCTCGAACGATGTCTGCCCCAACCTTAACCATTTCTCTGGAGACAATAAGTGTTAAGTTGGGGTTTTCTTAGGTCTGATAGGCCATTATTGCTGACCCTGGTGAACAGGAGTCACAGCAGTACCTACTACAGGTAAAACAAAGAAGCCGTGCCAAGACTATAGGGGCATAATCATCCGATATGGATTCTTTCACAGAGGTTTAATTTTATGAGCGAAAATGTATGAGTTTGAACAAATACGTATTTATTTCTTATTAGTATAATAATGTGATCTATACTAATAAACCGACTTCAAAGACACCATATTTTGTATGTTTGTTACGCGATATCTCTGTCAATTGTCGACCGATATTCAAAATTATTTTTGTAATCGAAAGGGTATACTCCCGAGGTGGTCCATTACCACCAAATCAGGATTTCATGACAGGATCCCAGAGAAATCGAGGGAAACCCTTAAATTTTACAGGCCCGACAACGTGATTTAGCTTGTTTGTCTAGTTATACAGGTATTTGCGTTTAGTAGTCGTTATGTCATGTTGCTAAGCTGATTTTAAGTTGTTTATATATGTTCCATCTATAAAGCAAAAACCTGCTAAACATGCTTGGGTGAAAAATTTGTGGAGCAAATTGTACTGGATTAGGGCAAAATACTTTTCCGAAATATTTTAGTTTCTTGTGGACAAAAATTGTCCATTACCTTAATGTAGGTGAAGTCAATGCGGACATGATTGCAAATGCTTGTGAGCAACACCTAAATCGTGGAAAGCGCACGTGAACTAAAAAACCTGGAGAAAACTGTCTTAGAATTGAACCTTCAGAAGGCATCATCTGTATACCACCTAGTTTGTCCTCATTTGTAGTTTAGCATGAAAATAAGTGGTCGACATGTTCAAGAATGGTGTGGCATTCTACCACTCAATCCATACATAAATATACATGGGTATACACCTCATTCTCGACCGGGATGGGCAGACGATGGAACCCCACGATCCTGACATACAGCTCACACTTGTTGAGCTATGTTTACACGCTATGCAATTCTCGTCAAGTGTCCACAAACAAAAGCGTGTAAACGGGGCGCTTGGCTTGCGTGAGCTTGTCGCCGATCCTTGCTAGTGTCGGTTTCTGAACACAGATCAAAAGAAGCTTGTAGTAACATTTTGGTGCGTATTTAGCTTCGCTGTTTGTATTTTGAATGAATATATGCAGGCCAAACGCAATAGCCGCCACAACTACAACGTCAACATCTGCCACGTTTGCCTGTCCTGAACACACTCACAAGCGTGTAAATGGCATCCAAGCGTTTGTAAAGGCTTGGAGCTTGTGGACGTTTGCCAAGCCTCGGCAAGCGTAGAAATTACAATTCCTTTAATACAGGTTCGCAGGCTACTAGATCCTTTTTCAGTATACTGCTGATCTCTCCAGTTTATCTCGGGGCCTGACCGCACCCACTCGCTCACTTAGAAACTCTTAGTCATTCGCTTTTTGCTCATCCTTTTGACATGCCAGAATCCCTATATCAATTCTTGTGATCTGTGTTTAATTTAGTACTAATCTTTTAT